CTGTTCTTTCCCTTTGAGCAGTTTCTTTCCCTTTCACAATATCTAGTATACCTTTCAGAGTGGCTTGTTTCTTTTTAACTTCAGTTTTTGGCTGATACATCAGGGAAAACTGTTGTTCTGGATGCATCATGTCAGGCGTAACTTGGGTAATCGTGTCTACTTTAACGCTCATTGTTTGTGGAGAAAGCATTCCACCCTCTCTTCTCCCCATGCCCCAGCCCCGGCTCCAGCCAGATGGGACCCAGTGCGGGGCGCAGAGCCTTCCCTCCCTCCGCGTGGCTCTGGGGCCCCTGCTCCCCTGCTTGTCTCTGAGATCCCAGTGTAGACCCTGCACGAGTGACCTCAGCGGCCCTTGTGCCTGCCCCTGGCTGCTGCCAATCTCCAGGCCCTCTCAGCGCTGTCCACGGCACCATCTTCAACCCTCACCTGCAATGAGCGCATGGGGTGTGTGGGTCCTTTCTGATTCTGTCACGGCAAGCTGTGCTGCCGTACATGTGGCAGCCGCCGTGGATGTGGCAGCGCCCGTGTCTTGTGTCTCCCACAGGCCACTACCACTTCCAGGGAAGCCGAGAGCAGGATTACTGGACTGCAGGGTACTGCTAGCTTCAGATTCTTGAGGAAAGTGGACTTTTCCCACCTTTTCTTTGATCTTTGAGAATGGGGCAGGCTGGGTATTGGACTCCAGGCCCTTGTGCTGATCTACATTTCCAAACCGTTTTTTTTTTTTTTTTGTTTTGTTTTGTTTTGGTTTGGTTTTTTTTGAGACAAGGTCTCACTAAGTTGCACAGGCTGGGCAAAAACATGTGCTCCTCCTGCCTCAGCCTCCCAGAGAACTTAGATGACAGATGTGAAAGTGGCTGGCTTTAAAGTAACTACCGAAGGGAGTTCTCGCACCTGGGTGAGCTATGCTGAACTTAGGGGAGACGAGGGGACATCACTGCTCCTTCCTTCCTGTACACGTCAACATTCAAGATGTCACCTTTGGTAGGGGAAGATACAGGGGACAGGCTGCGGGCAGGCTGTCTTGGCCTAGTTGTCAGGGTGCAGTGGCTCCCAGAGAACCCAATGTGACCTCATTCTGGGTGAGGTGCCTCCTCCGCCTGAAGAGTCCGCACCTGCAAGGCAGGCCCTGGCCTCAGGTTTCAGGTGGGCGGGGTCTCCAGTGTGGTCTCCATGGCCTGGGCGAAGTCCCTGTGGCAGGGCACTGGGGCACACCTGTCCACCGGCCTGCCAGAGTGCTGCCCAGGTGTGTGAGGGTGATGAGCCGAAGGGAGCAGACGCCGGTGGCTGCTGCCCCTGGGCCGTGATCGCCGCTGCCGTGGGCCACAGCCTGCTTTGTGTGTCCCGGAAAAGTCAAGCCAGGCAATTCCTCAGATCTCAGCGGCCAAGCTGGAGCAGCTGCCGTGGCTCCAGTATCAACAGGAACTGAGAGGGCGTGCAGCATCGTGGTGGATCCCGCGGGCTCTGGGTAGGGGATGTAGCACCCTTCTTGGGACTCCCGGGAAGCTGCCCCCATGCTCTACAGGGGACCAGAGGCCGCCCAGTGGGCTGCAACCTCCTGCCCTGCCAGGAAACGGCACAGCAGGGTCTGGTGCCACCTCAGTACCCTCATGGGTCCCCATGGACATCTGCTCTTGAACCTGCCACAAACCCTCAAGCACTTGGTCTCATTGTGCCCAGTCTGGAGGCAGGGAACTGGTGAGATAGCATGGGCTCCGCGGGAAAGCCCACAGCCCAGGCAGGACCACCGCCCTCAGGCTCCGTCCCTTTCTGTGCAGAGTGGGCAGGATAACCTTTGCTTCCTCTTGCTGAATCCAGCATCCCCACACGCTGGGCCACCTGGGGTCCAGATCCCAGGACCTGCTGGGGCGGGTCAGAGGGGCAGGGCACAGGGAACAGGGCACCCGGCCACGCAGGCCAGCCCTGCCAGGAGGTGTGCGACAGCAGAGGCATGTACCTCTCTTCCCTGGTGGGTGCTGGGAACAGAAAGTCCTGCAGGCAGCAGCAGGGTAGCTTACTGACACTGCGTGCCTGATAGGGACCCCAGGGGGCCTTGATGCCCATCTACTGGGCAGAGGTCAAGGGGTGGGGGTCCCCCTTTCCTTTCTCAGGGTACTCCCAGAAAAGTGCTCCTGGGACCCAAAGGTGGAGAGGGGGCCGCTGGTCCCCTCTTTCAGCCAGGGCTCCAAGTCCCCCACAGATGCGGCTGCTTCCCCAAGCAGGACAAGTGGGGCACCAAGCCCTGACATCTATTTCCATTGGGTCATTAAGTCCCCTGTTTTGAGATCATTTTGGTTAGGGGATGCAAACAGCTGCTGTGTGGGGAACCTGGAAGATCACACATGAGATGATACTGAGCGGAGCTTGGCTGGAGCAGAAGGGCGAGCAGGTAGCCCTCGACTCCTGCCCCCGTCTTCCCCCAGGTGGGACACGGCGCTGCGACAATCACCTGCCCTTGCCATCCCAAGGCCTGCTCAGTCTGGGCTCCACGACCTCACCCCGGACAGAGGAGGAAGAGGGCCGGGGCTGCACCTGTGCCTTTGGGCAATATGTGACCCCAGGAGCAGGCAGCAGTGAGGCCCCTTCCCGAGCCTCTCCTCACCCCAGCACACAGGGCCAGGGATTCCTCGAGGCAGCTGCCTTTCCTCTGCATTTTCTGTTCATTTTGGAAAGGGTCTCACTAAGTTGCCCAGCCTGGCTTCCAGCTGGAGACCCTCCTGCCTCAGCCTCCCGAGTAGCTGTGATTTCTGGTGCACAATTTAGGACACCTTTCCCTGGGAGGGTCTTCTGGGATCTTAAGCATGGGGTGTCCAGCAGGCCCCACTCTAAGACATGCCTTTGCTGTGAGTCTCTTCTTCCAGCTTCCTGTCTCCTAAATGTGCCACCCACCCTCTTAAAAATACTCCTTTGACCAAGCATGGGAATTACACCTATAATCCCAGCACTCGGGAAGCTGAGGCAGGAAGATTGTTGTGAGTTAGAGACCAGCCTGGGCTACTTGTGCCTTGTAGCAAGACCCTATCTTAAAACAAAAACCAAAACCAAAACCAAAACCATGTGTATATATTCCCTCTGAGCCGGCACAGGGCAGGCCAGTAGAAACAGCCCAGCACAGCGGCCACAGCAGTCCCCCCACCCCGCGACCTCTCATCACTGCTGCTGCTGCTGCTGCTGCTGCTGCTGCTGCTGCTGCTGCTGCTGCTGCTGCTGCTGCTGCTGCTGCTGCATAGGACATCTCCTGTTCGCTCCTGCCTGCCTCCTCTGCCCCTTCTTCCCCCACGTCCTCCAAGTGTGGAGTCTCAGGACAGCTGGGCTCTGGTAGGCGCACACTTGTGAAGGGCTGGCCCAGTTGTGCTCTGGGGAATCCAGCCCAGTGACAGCTGTGCCAGCCCGGTGAGGACAGACCGGCCGCCCCCAGGTTGGCAAGCGCTGGCCCAGCGACACATGTGTGTGCATGTGCATGTGCGTGTGTGCATGTGTGTGTGCATGTGTGTGCGTGCGCATGGGGGGAAATGAGAGCTCTGCTCTTAGCTTGCACAGCTTTGGTTCTCTGGGAGGCGGGCTTCTTTCCTAGTTCTTCAGAGTCTGCTTTGGAAGCTGAGAGGACCTCGCCCAGCCCTCTCCCCATGCCAGAGCTGCTGGGGTTTTGGCTAGTTGTTTCTTTTAAAAGGTCTCCATGACATCTTCTTACTAGTCTGCGTCTACAGTGGCATCTGCACCTGTGCCTAGCACTGGGCTGAGCTCCATGGGCAGGGGTCTCACAGAGCCCTGAGTGTAGCCTATGGAAGGCCTAGTGGTGCCCACCACTCAGGGCTCTCTCAGTGGAAGGGCCACTCAGGTGCTGGGGCCGGGGGAGAAGGTTTCCTTCCCCACACCTGGTCCCCAAGCTCCGAGGTCAGGCTGGCTGCAGCTCTGGCAGAGTGGTGCCAGGCCACCTGGGCGTCACACATGGTGGGGCCACCTGGTGTGTGGGACCCTGCAGGGAGAGCAGAGGGACTACTCAAGGGCTAGGTACCTGCCGGGGTCCTGAGGCTCTGGTGGCCTAAGGGAGTGAAGGGAGAGCCTCCCCATCCCTTCCTGCCTGCCTCCAGTGTCATTGTACAAGGACAATGTCCCTGGGGTGACAGCCTCCAAATATAGTGTTCTGGCTGTCACGCCTAATCCCGGGCCTTGGACACATGTCACAGCATGTCCCTTGGCATGCGGAAGCTCTTAGGCACGCCAGGCCTGAGTTCTGTCTCAGCCTCACGGCTGGGCTCAGGGGTACTGTCTTGACTCTCTAGGCCTGGGTGTCCCAGCAGGGATCCAGGAACGTCCCAGTGGTTGCAGCAGGGCCGAGTGGGTCTCCTGTGATGCCCACTGTGTCCACAGCTCAGCGGCCACCCTAACCAGCTCTCTCAGCCCCCAGGGACCAGGACTGCTCAGTGTGTTTGGGATGCTCCCCAGATGCCTAGAGCATTTTGAAGCCTGCACCATCTTGCAGCCCTGGAGCTGGGCTCTGCCTGGGCCTGTCCTCAGAGGTGGCCTTGTGCTGACCCTCTGGGTGTCTCACATGGGGAGCCTGGCTTCACAGCTGGGGCTGTCTATGCCAGCACGGCTGCATCGGAGCCAGGGCTGGATCTGGAGATTCCCTGCTCCCTCCCTACCCGGGCTGGAGCGCCCATCTGTCTGGCTTGGAGCCACAGCACAGGGGGGAGGGCGAGGGGAGGAGGGGGCCGTGGGTGCTCCTTCCCACCTGAAGTGGTCGGGAGTGTGCGTCTGTCCCTCTGGCTGTCCCCATCTGACCTGGGCATCCACTTCTCTTTGTATCTTTGTGGCCTCGGGATCCAGGTAGCCCTATAGCCTTTCCTCCTGCTGTCCCCTTGTCACAGGCCCTGAACCATGCCCTCCCTGATCCCCACCAGTTCTTGGGGGGAGAGGCTCAGGCCTCGGTGGACACACTGCACCCAGCTGTGTCCTCATCTCCAGAAACACAGGAGGGAGCCCCAGTCCCCCCATCAGTAGCAGTCACCTTGTTCTTGCCAGCCTCCATGTGATGGGGTAGGAGCCATCATTTAGGGGCTTCGGCCCCACTGGGCTCCCTCACCCTCTGCCCGATGGACACACAAAGCCCCGATGGCACCTCTATCCCAAGGACTCACAGTGGCTCTGGGTCACATCCTGCACAGCCAAGGCAGAGGCTGATGTCCAGCCCCTGCTCCTCTGTGCCTTCAGGGAAGAGGCACCAGGACCTGCAGGGTCAGCCCAGGGAGGAAGGTGGACAACACGCAGCAGCTGCAGCAGGGGAGGTGGCCAGGCCTGTACCCCTAAAGTTGGAACAGAACTGGGCGGGGTGGCATATGTCTGTAATCCCAGCACTGAGGAGGCTGAGGCAGGAGGCTCACTACGAGTTCAGGACCAGCCTGAACTACACAGAAAGACCCTGTTTAAAAAAAAAAGTGTGAGCAGAGCCTGTGGAGGAGGCAGCGGGTCCGAAGGCCCAGGGAGGGTTCTGTCTGGCCAGGCCAGGCTCTGGGCAGCACATGCAAGGGCCAGAGGTCCTGCCAATCATGGATCTGCAGGCACAGCAGGCCCAGTGGCTGCACAGCTGGTGTGCTCAAGTTGTTCCTCTCCCCAGAGGCTGCCAGGCGCAGGTCCGGCTGACTGGGTCCTGGGGCTACTTGGGAATGAAGCCTGCTGGGAGCAGCAGGGCCACAGGGGTATGCCCCGGGAATGGTGCACTTCTAGGACTCCTGTTCTGAGTGTCCCTGGGGCAGCGTTTGCTATGCCTCTGCACCCAGAACCCTGCTTCAGTTTTCCTGTCACTGGGGCACAGGATTTCCAGGGTCCATGTCTGTGACAGGTAGCCCAGTGGTGCCCCCAACAGGCAGAGGCCCCACGTGCGCAGCTGGCCCTGGTGCCCGTCCTGGCTAAGGTGAGGCAGGCCCGAGGCTGGCTTTCCACAGGCAGAGGAAGTGTGTGGTGGCCGACAGCCACCAGTTTCAGAAAGTCCTCTGTGACTATTTTTAAAATCTTGGGTGGGAGCCCTCACACCAAAGCGGAAGCCACCAGGGAGAAGACAGACCGGACATCTCAAGACGAAAGGAGCCTGTGCCTGGGAGCGGAGGACAGAGCCGTGTGCCCCGCTGCCAGGAGACAGACGAGAGCCTTCCTGGCCACAGCTGCGCACGCTTTCGTTTTGAGACAGTCTTACAAAGTTGCCGAATTGCCCAGGCTGGGCTCAGACTTGCGACCCTCCAGCCCCAGGCTCCCGGAGCACTGGGTTGCTGGCGTGCGCCATGGCACCCGGCGGGGCTTTTTAAAATCAGAAGTGTGTGCTGCATTTCAATCAGATGCCATCCTGACGAGTGCGGATGGCTTGGTCCTTCCTTCAGCGCGCCGAGGTGTGATGCTTCAGACGCAGGCTTAGGGCAGCCCGAGCTGAGCCGCTCCTTGTTCTGTGCAGCTTGGGGCAGTCTGCCAGGCCTGCACAGGGGAACTGGGGGCGTGACCCTAAGCACCCCGAGATCAGGCATCCACTCCACCAATGCCCACCCACCCTGGCATGCCCCAGAGGCCTACGGCTGGTGGGCACTGTGTACGTGAAGAACCCAGAAGCTTTTACTAAGAACTGAAGCATTTTTAGTAAATATCAATAAAGACAGTATTTTAAAAACACTCTTCTGGGCCGGGGAGATGGCTCAGTAGAATAAGCGCTTCCCTGGCAAGTGCAAGGGCCTGAGTTCAATCTCTGGTTCCACCAAAAAAAAAAAAAAAAATCTAAAAAAAAACCTAGCTCCACATCCATACCCTACCTGCCCTTAAGGCAGCCTGAGCCAGCCAAAAAATAAATAAATAAACAAACAAATAAATAAAAACACTCTTCTTCTAGCATAAAATAAAACCAAGTTTCATAACAGAATAACAGTGGTTAACGTACCACATACGGTAATCTTGAACCAAAGTGGTGCTGGGAGGGCAGGGCACAGACAGAAGCAGGCGCCCTCTTCCAAAGCACAGGAAGTAAAAGGCAGAGCCCAAGAGAAACTGACAGGAAAGATGGAACAAATCATCACCTATCTTAGAGCTTTATTGTTGTCCTCCTTTTTTTTTTTTTTCTTCTTTTTAGTGTATTTAGTACAGGGTCTACAGGGTCTCACTATACAGCTCAGACTCATAGTGATCCTCCTGTTTTCAGCCTCCCAAGCACTGGGATTACAGGCATATGCCACCACACCCAGCCTCAGTCCGTCTCACCAGCATGACACGTCAGGGATCAAATCTCGGTCCCTGCACTCTGCCTAAGCAGGCGCTTTAGTCCACTGAGCTATCTGGCTGGCCCTTGTCATTTTTGAGACAGGTCTTGCTCTGTGGCTCCGGCAGCCCTGGAACTCATGGAGGGATCCTCCTGACTCGGCCTCCTAAGTGCAGGGATTGTAGGCGTGCACCACCCCAGCCCAAATATATCAGGATTTTAATGTTTATTAATGGCTTTAAAATATTTACCTTTTGGTAGAGTTTTATTTCTTGCCACGGAGATAGCTCAGTAGAATAAGCGCTTGCCTGGCAAGCACAAGGGCCTGAGTTCAATCCCTGCTACCACAAAAAAAGTTTTATTAACAGCTAGTGTATTTTATTTGCATTTATTTTGTTTAGTAATAAGATAATTTATAACCTGTTCTCAGATTTCGTGTTTCAACCTAGTCCACTCATTTCATGAGTGGTATTGCCATTAGTTTTTTTAAGAGAGTGTGATTGAGGGGCCAGGGAGATAGTTCAGTGGTTTAAGCACCTACCTGGCATGCACAAGGTCCTGAGTTCAATCCCTGCTACAAAAAAAGAGAAAGATTGTGATTGAATTTTTAATCACATTCTTGAGGGATTCCCCATATTATGTGTGCTCTTTTATCTCCAGGGATTCCATTTTTAAAATTGCTCAATTCTTACTACTTTTTTGGCTTTTAACATTCTAGTCAGAGTGTCCACTTACGGCTGTGCTTTGGGAATCTGTTGACTTTCTCAGCTGCCTGACGTTGATCTGGGGCTTTTGAAAAGATGACGACTCCCACGGGGCAGGACCCTGACACAGCCTCAGAGTCGCCTTCCTTGTTGAATTTTCCATTCCCATTTTGTGCTGTTTCTCATCCACTTGGCCTCCAGGGTGTGTTGGGAAGAGGTCCCCATGGAGAGGGGCAGGAGGAGCCCTCCCCAAGCCCAAGCCTGGGGTGCAGCAGGCAGGGCCTGGGGAGCACATTGGGGTGTGGCCCATGCCTTCCGCTGGGCTTTCTTCCTAAAATGAGGTTTTAAAATTTTATCTTTTTTTAAAAAAAAAAAAAAAGAACCAGGGATTGAACTCAGGCCCTTGTGCTTGCCAGGGAAGCGCTTATTCTACTGAGCCATCTCCCCGGCCCAGAAAAAAAATAAATAAATAAATAAAATAAAGTAAAATTTTATCTTTTGGGCCTGGCATGGTGGCACAAGCCTGTACACTTGGGAGGCTGAGGCAGGAGGATCCTTGCCAGTTCGAGACCAGCCTGGGCACAAAGTAAGCTCAAGGCCAGCCTGAACTGCATAGCAAAACCCTGTCTCAAAAAGTAGTAATAATAATAAAATAAGTAAATTGTATTTATCTATTTATTTAGAGACAGAGTCTTGCTATGTAGCCCAGGCTGGCCTTGAGTTTATAGCAATCCTCCTGTCCCAACCTCCTGAGTCCCAGGATTACAGATGTGCACCATCCGGCCCAGCTCATTTTAATGAGCTTTTTTTACATAGAATTATAAAAATAGCAAATGATCACTGTAGAAAGCTTGACAATTTCAAACAAAAGAAAAGCTGGGGGCCAGGGAGTTAGCTCAATAAAATAAG